AGGAAAAAAAAAATTTTTTTGTTATTATCCTTGCGTAAATGTTGCAGATTCTACAACTAATTACCAGCACATATAGAATATTTTAGCAAATATTATTAATTTATATTGATCTTATTCATATTATTTATACGTACTATATGTTATATGCATACGAGACGTATATTCAATTCATATATTTTGAATAAAAATAGTCACAAATATGAAATCGTGCGTTACCCAATATCAAACACAATTTATTATAAAAAAAAATGAGTAAAGTTTTTTTTTTTTTTAATTAACTTCACCAAATACTTCTTCTTAAACTCAAAGTAGTTTTAAGGTGATCACATTGTAATACGTGTATAGAATATTTTAATATATTATGATTTACTATGTTCTGTCTGCAACAACAAATCTCTGGTTTTGTTATCTGATATTATATATAATAACTTTTACGTAATAATGATGTGCTTTGTTTTTAAATTCACTTAGTTATAAACTGTTTTTATTTCTTTATTTTATTTCTTTTATTCAACTGTTATGATTCTCACAGCGTAAAGAACTCACCGTGATTTTGTGGGCTGAAAATGTTCTGAATCGCTTGAGCCAGCATGAATTCAGTCAACAGCCATAATAAGATAAGAGCCATAATTGAATTCACTTCTTGTAACACACGCACAAAAATCACTGGCACTATGTAAGGAAATGTTCACGAAAGCGCTGCTCAGAGGAGACGCTCCGCGTTGGTAGGTAGGTCTGACACGGCTGACGTTGGCCGAAGAAATGAGCAACTGCGTCAGGCAAAGTGCAGTTCAAAGGATAACCAGCATATGTATTGTTTGCGTGCTGGCGCATGCATCGCCCAAGCTCTGTATCCGCACATGTGTGAAAGGACAGTTGCCCCCGTGATTCGGTCGTCTAGACAACTCCAAAAGAAACAACGACACCAAGAGGTGGCCAACCATCTATGGTAATGTGTGCACACACGGGCTTTTGCATATGCTATATGGGCTTGGCCAGCTAGCAGCTAGTAGCTACCAGCTATGAGCTATGAGCTCCAGATGTAGATGGTTAAACCTTTGCGCAGTAATGGGCGGGTCCTTTACTTACGTATAAGCTTCGATGTTTGCCGCTCTGCCGCTTTGCTGGGCAGGAAAAGGTGCAGCAGTGTGAATGTATTTTAAGCGCAGCTCCTACCAACAAATCGTTTCTTAACCATTCGCCATTTTAGTTAAAGCTTCAGATTTAAAGACATGAATCAATGGGACTAATTTGAAAGGATTTGCTAGATTTTTATTGTATTTTCACTATTGTGCTAAGCTCAAATGAAGCATAAGTCCATTTCTAATACAATACTCGTATATGCACAAAGTGCATGGAAAAAAATTTACATATTTATATTAATATTTGAATACCGTTTAAAATTTGTATGGGCTCATGACTGTTTAACAGCACTTTGTCTTATTAATTTGCCCGAGTGTAAGAACACAAAAGGACATTGTGGTACACGACATCGGCTTTCCGGCCGTTTGAGCTCCAAAAGATGCTGGAACTTCGTTAAAATGACAAAGCGAAATAAAACTGACAATTACTGGATGGGTGTCGTGGTTATCGCGACCATCAACATTGCTGTTATCGTTGTTGTTGTTGTTGCTGTTGTTGATTGCCAGAGACAATTGGAGACTCATTTACATTTACCAAATGAATGCGAATGTGTCGGCATGTCGAGAACGATGGCTGGTATTCAGTGCCACCTTCCATCCATATGACGGCATTGTTCGCCCAAATGCCTATAAGCCGTGCAAATTGAATTGCCACGGTTACGAAAGGATCGTCAGCCTTGCTTCCACGATGACTCTTCAATGAGCTTTCAAAACTTGACAAGCTGCCCTTCGCCTTCTCTGCCCCGACAACAGCTGCTTCAATCGCTTTATGACAAATTCCATAATTTCCTGACAAATGAGCTCACAATTATAGCCCAAACGCAAATGTACAACTACGCACACAAAGTTTATTCGTTTATTCGAGATGAAATCAGTCAAATAAAATTGCCAATTCACAACAAATAAAATGTTTTCCTTTTTTTTTTTTATTTTGTATTATACTAGTTGCTGACCCAGTGTAGTTTTATATATTTATAAAATATACATATATACATTGCTACATATGTATGTAGATAAATAACATGAGATAATCGATTTTAGATGCATGATTTTATGAAGCTTATAGAGCATGAATATGAGATAAAATTATGTGTAGATACTAAAGCATAAGACTTTGGTCTTTGATATGAGAAATTCTATTTAGTTGTGTATAGACTATTAAATGAAAAAGATAATGCTTATGCTTATCGGGTCATAAGGATATAAATTTTCATCAATAATAAGCATGCTTAGAACTTGACAACTTGAACTGTTTGTTGTATACAATGTAACAGTATATAAAATTAATGTGGGTAGTTCTTAGGATTTTTCATTTACTTTCTGATCAGCATATAAATGGACAGGTGAGCAGACACACAGACAGATAGACGGACGAAGGATATAAGAGGATATGTAAATGAATGTTTATATTTAAAAAAGTAGGTTAAGTTACTGCTTTAACGTGTAGTCGCACATATATTCCTATAATTTCTTTAGATAATTTAATCAGAGCTTATAGCTTAGACTAATAGCCTAGCGGCTTAATCAATGTACAATTTACTTACATATCTGTGTTCAGCCTCACTGTGTACTTTATGTTAGTCAAAATCTAGAATTGCTGTCGGCAATCTGTGTTTTATGACATGCGACGTACTAAACATATATACACATACATATGTATAGACCCACATTAAAGTCCCTTGTATCCTGCTGTCAGTGTAGAGACGAAATTCAATTTTGTAAATTGCGGCCATCACAATGAATACGCAGAGCTGAGAGTATGCAAAGCGGCAAACATTTGGTTAAATGCCAACATGGGATTAATAGAGTAAACCTAAAGCGAAACAGCCGCAGAAATATTGCCAACGGTATTTTTATTTAACGAGAAACAATCACAAAATATCACAAAGTTTCCGCCGTCCTTTATTAGGTGTCAACACATGCAGCCCAACAATGTGCCCCGAGAAGGTTTTCGACTTCAAGTTTTTGGGTTGCGCCAGCTCAACTGTCCTTATTATGTTAAGAAACTATTTAATGGGTTTTGTGCGCCGTCGTTCGTCCAATGGCGAGCCCCAACACTTTAGAGTTTAAGACCAGTCCCCAGAGTGCACCATGAATTTCATTATGCAACTTGGCAGGAGTAACTGCTCCTGCTCTTGCTTCTGCTCCAGCTCCAGCTCCTGCTGCTGACAAGGACACAATCAAACGACCGATTTATGTGGAATTTCTGAATATTCTTCTTTCGGTTGTTTGTTCCCTTCAGTGAATAGCTGAAATATTCGTAAATAGTTGAACACTTGAGGGCTGACCAATTGATTGGGTTTTTATTGTCAAGTAATTCCAAGCTCACTAAAGCTATTTGGCCACAAAAATTATTGCGCAGTAAACTAATCAATTAGAAGAAGTTTGGGTATGTGTCAGAGCGAAAACTTATCTAATGCATCTTAACTTATTCAACTCCATTCTCCATTCTAACTTTTCCGTATGCATTAATGTCTATATAATGTCAGGCGTAGCTCCTTTTTCGAGCTCTCTATTCGATTCCCTAATTGTTTTTTGAGTCTACACGCAATTTACATATTTAAAGAGCTCAACGAAGAGCCGCTCGCAGGTGGCTTGTCAATGGGGAAAACCATAAGAGGATATGCTCCAAGGTCGACTGCGTTAAATGAGATATTCTATCATAACGGCATTGCTGCTGATAACGTTTATAATACAGAACAAGGAAATATTCAGACATGGACAAACTTCTGGGTAGTTAGCCTTGTTAGGGACTTGGCAGCGCGTCAATGTCATTTATGCTGTTAAACAGACATTAAGCAAATAGATACGTTCAGATAAACAAGGTACAGGGCAACGTAAACCTCAAAGTTATCCCACAAAGTTACGCTGGCTGCCTGCCATGGCCGTGACCAATAAAACTTTAGACGCTTAATGACTTAAATCACTTTAAGACTCAATCAGCATCTCGCTGCTGAATTATAATGATATGAGTGGGACTTTGAGCAGCTGAGAGGAGGGATGAGGAGTGATAAATGGGGATGCGTGTAATGTTCATCCAACTAATTGGCTTATTGTTCAAAAATTAATACTTTCATTAGACAAAGCTCATTTAATCCCTTTTAATCTAAGTGCATAGCATACATATATACATAGGCCTCATTTAAATTTCGTATATGCCCTATTTAGTTAAAATTTAAGAAATTTTAATCTCATATTTGGCTAGTTCTGTTTATCAAAGACGAGCATTGCCAATTTGATGTTGTCATTGTTCATTGACGACTGCTGCGTGTGTCCCAACTGGCCGTGGAGTCGAGATGGAAAGCTCTTGCAGCCTGCTGTGCTCTCACTGGGCATTGCTAGTTGTACTGCTCGCACGCACGGGCAGCTGGGCGAGTACTGTTAGAGCAGTGCGACTAGAGCGCGAGCGCTGCACGGGCGAAAGCTTTGGCAGTCTGTTCGCAATGCTCTTAAATTTGTTGAAGTGCCTCAGCATCTCGCAATCTCTGCACGAGCATTCGGAAAGCATCCTTATCTTGGCTCGTGTATCGTGCATCGTTCAAGTACTTGGCTCGTTTCTATGCCAAGTGCTTGGTTTCAGTCCTGCCTCGTTTCGCACCACAGTCAGAGCAAATCTCAGTCTTTCGGACGCAAGCGACCAAAAGACCCCGCCGATCCTGGCGGTTCCCAAGTTTTACGTGTTCCCAACGCAGCCAGTGGAACGTTTCCGTTGCCGTGAAAGTGAATTGAATAAGTGCAAGTACAATTTTGGAAAAGATTTTTGGAATTGAAATGGAATAAATCAATCAATCATCAAATTCTTAAATTGAAAGAAAATATCAAACAAAAGGTCAAAGAGAAAGTGAAAGTGAGCCTACTAAAAATTAAATGCGAAAAGTCCAAGCAAAACTCAAACTACAGGAATTAAGAAAATACTACAAGTTTGAGAAAGTTAAAGCAATCTTGTCGTGACTCAACTTATTTTGTTGGCCGCAATGAAGCTTGTGTGCGAAATGGTTTTGTTTTTCTACCAATTCGCAAATATGTGGATGAAATTGTGAAAATTGTTTGGCCATAATTTTCCGCAAATTGCGATTGAAGGGGTCGATGGCAAATCAGTGAGAGCCAAATTTGAATCGCAGCTAGCTCCCCTTGTTGGCGACTCAGCGAATTAATGTCCTCGGGCGAGTGAAATGTGTTGTTAACGGAACCCAGCCAAAAGGGTCCTCGGGGCTCCATTACAAATAGATTCAGCCAAGCAAACAACAGCAAAGGCTACTTAAGTGATAAATAATCATAAATACAAGTGTATAAATATTCATTTGTTTGTGTCTGTGCTCGATAGAAAACAGATTTCGAACAATTCTGAGAAAGTTCCCTAAGCCAAATGACGAAACTCGAAATTGTGCAAAATCTTAATAGTGATACTACGGCCTGGCCAAAAATAAATGCAAAGCCAAATTGTCATGAAATTGGACAAGAGAAACGAGCTTAGCTGTGACTTTGATTGAATACGTCCAGGCCTCGACTGCCTCGAGATATTAGCTTACATTGACGGGCAAATCACAGCTCACATTGGATTACATAAATAAACTAAGCAATGGTAAGCTCTTGAATAAAAAAATATATACCAAATTATTATGATAAATTGACAAAAGATTTGCCCCAAATTTTAGTTCATATCAAAACTTTTCTCAATCCAAAAAATAACTATATAAAGGAAAGTTAAATTTGAGAAAATAATGACGTTAAAGCATTTTATGTTTGTTTTTATTTTTTTCAGATTTAGACTGCAATGAGAGTCACAGCCAACGCAACGTCTATAATTGACCCAAGGAGTATTGAAATAAATATAAGCCGAGTGAAGGAAAATAACAAAGGGACACTGGTCTATTTATGCAATATTTACTTAACAATTTGAAGGCGGCCAGGCAGAAGGAGGAATCTAGCAGCTCTGGCACATTCAGTCAATTGAACTGGTGCCTTTAGTCGGGTCTATTACCATAGGCTCTGATGCAGCTGTTGGCTAAAAGCGTGAATCGAAGCGGAAAGAAGTCTATTTAAGCATCGGACAGAGCAAGGGCCCCACAGCCCCAAAACGTCGCGGCTCCACTCTAATTGCAGATGAGCGGCGACGGCTGTTGTCGGCTGTCGAATTGCGCAAACGAATTGTGCGTGGGACTTGCAAAGAGCATCTAACTTAATAGGGAAATCCTTTGTCTAACTAAGGGCGTCGCATTCCTAACTGCTCCTAGCCACGCCCCAAACGGCGAGGTCGGCGAGATGGCGATAGAGATAGAAATGGAGATGGAGACGGAGATCGATACGGAGACGGAGATGAAGATGGAGCCACGACCCAGTCAGACCCGTACTCGGTCTCGCTGCGGATGCCTGCGCCTAGGACTCGCACTACTGTCCTTGATATTGACGCAGTCCTTTGACTATGTTCTGTGCGGCGAGAAATTGGGTAAGTGGCTTTATCGTTTTTCTTATTTACAGCTCGGCTCACATCAGTGCGTTCTCGAAGCGAGGATGCCAAAATGAAATCAAAAACAGGAACAAAGCCTGTGCAGCCTCCTTCAGTGTGTCCTTTGTTTCACAATCGCGCTTATGTCTCTTATCTGTTATTTATTTGAGTTGTTATTTGACATTTTTCTGTGCCGTTGATTTGCTTGAGTCCTGTGCGGCGAGTTCATTAAGGCCCGTCTCAGCTTTCTATTTATATTCACTCGCTTAAGTCGATGAAAAATGTGAAAACTTTACACTCTAAAATACCCATCATTGCGCCCACGCCCCTTTTTTTGGTGCTTCTCTTGGAGCATTGTTTACCACACAGATAGTACGCTCATCTGAACAATCTGCCAGCATCGGGACTTTATATTTTAATTGCATTCCAAGTGAACGCATTTAAGCGGTTTGTGTTTCTTCTTATTACTCTTAACGGCGCTCAGATTGCACTCTATCATTTAGTTGACTATGTATTAGCTGTCTAGGCGATACCCTGTAAAACGATCTAAGGCAGGGATATGATTTTTTTTTTTTATACACATATTTTTTTTTATTTTTTTATTTATATGAATTTACTTTAAAGGACAATATAGTTTATTTCGCATAAAAGAAAATATTTATGTACAAATATTTATAATTTAACTGACATTATTTTAATAATTTGTACAAATATTAGACAGTTAAAAATATTTTTTTAAAATTTATTGCATTGCTAATATCTATGATTAAATTCTCACTAGTTTTTGGACAAGCTTGCTTTTGTTGAGGACGTCTTTATTAGGTTTTCTGAGACAGGTCAGATCCTGCCGTGTATCAGGTTTTGTCCTGTCTTTGTTTCTGTTCAATGCAATGTTATGTGCATATATTAGTTTTCATTTAAACAAATTCATAAAAAGGATGTATATGTTGTTGTAAATGTGTAGTTTTATGGCCAATGTTCATTTAGAAATGAAATATAAAATGTTTTATGCTAGCGAAATCCTGCTTACAAGAGAACTGCTAGGCAAGCAATGCTCCACTTACTGGCTCTACGCATTATTTGCTTTTTTTTCTCTTTTCTGTTTTTCTGATTTTTAATATAACAAAACCGAGCAGTTTTATGTGAAGCGCCATAAAAGGGGACTCCCATGGGAAGGGCGCTGCTCGAAGTTCGGACTTATGTAGCATCACATGTCATCGGGGAGAAAGTTCGGGTCTTTTCCGCTAACATGCCAACAACTTGATGCGATAATCAATTGGAGAAGTTGCCTTGATGTTTTTTCCGTTTTCCGTCCCCCGTTTCCCCGTTTGCCTGTTTAGTCGCCACATTTCACCTCACTGCTCGCTGATTGTCATCTGTCGCTGTTGTGCCTGCCTGGAGATTGATGGCATCCAAAGCGTTTTCTGACACGTACGTGCAGCGTGTGCTGTGGCCTCCCTTTGTTTCTGTTAATGGCAGTAGGCACTGTACCGCTCCCCGGAACAAAAGAAAAGTCATATGCTCGCCTAGAGCAACAGGCACAGGACCTCTTGCCAAATAATCGCAATATGCAAATGTCAGAAATTACTCGTGGCTACGGACGCTGTGGCATCTGTTTATAAGTCTGTGAATTTGTTTAACGGAATTTGATTTTTTACTTCAACGAAGCTGTCAAGGAAACCTCAAATAATCCATGGAGGGGTAGGGGAACGAGGCGGCAGTTGCGTGAGTTCAATATGTATGCCAAGCACATTTCGAGCAATGTGACTGCATTTCAAGGCAGTAGGAGAAAATTGAACTGCTGACATAATCAGCAATCGACCAACCTGCTCAATATTTATTGTAATGAATTAATCTTGCTTATGAATCAAATTATTCATTTACTTATTTGTATACTTTGCGACATTTCATACAAATGACAATTATATAAGTTGATAAGGATACGGAATTTCGTTTTTATCAACAATTATTACTCCTGTGCAGTCGAATTATTATCGACAACGATTTGATATTATTGCTAGGGCTCGCAGCATTAATTTAAATACAATTATGTGACTCTCTCACTCTCTGTCACTCTATCTCATTCTCTCTCTGTGTCTGTGTATGCAAATATGATGTGTGGGTGTATGTGCGTGTAATAAGTACTAACACTTAAGTTAATGCGTGTGTGCGCTCTAATGGCAGCTTGGCTGGGTCAAATTTAATATAAAATAATGAACGTGACACTCGCAATTGCTGGAATAAATGCGATTTTGATTGCTGCTTGTGGTGGCATTTACGCAAGATAAGCCCCGTGGCATCGACACGGTAGCAATTGCACACGCACACGCACACGCACAGACTCACACTCACACACTCACACTGTCGCGCATGCAAAACAAAGTGCGTACATTTGAATGAGCATGCAAAGAGAGAATCGCATGAATCCTGCGTATAAATATGCTTGTCCATGACACACCTATATGTGTGTGTATATGTATGTATGTATGTAAGCATGTGTGTGCGTGTGTGTGCTAGTGTATTTATGCGCGGTCGGGGATCCGTTTGGCAATGCGAAAAGAAGTTTTTGTCAAGCGTCAGTGCGGCACTTGTTTCTAAAGGACAAATGTCCGTATTAAAAAGTTATGAGCGGCAATATTCGCGGCAGTAAAAAAAAGAGACAACAGACAGAGAAAGAGAGAGAGAGAGAGAGAGAGAGAGGGAGAAAGATACGCAGGCAGACAGACTCTGAGTGAGTCAAATTATTAAGGATATGCCGCTGATGTCAAGCCAAAAATGTGGAGAAGTGCGGCTCCAAGTGTATGTGGGCGTTGCTGTGGATGGGCGCGTGTGTGGGAATTCGCATGCAGTACGCACTAACCAAAAAGGCAAATGAAATTCGAGTTCGGTCTGTCGAGAGCCTTTGAGGCATTTCCCATTTGTGCCCAATTCCCTGAAAGTTGTGGTTAATGCAAGTCAAGTTGTAGCTAAGCGACCGAAATTGTGGTTTTTAAAGTTGTTTATTTCCGAAATTAGTTATTTTTTGAAATCGATCAGAAATTGCTTCTAACCGCATAGGAAACTAGGAAAACTCAACTAAATTAATGCTGCGTATGACAAGGCAATAATTAAGAAACTCCTCAGAATAATACGATGACAAATACTACTTTTAGTTTGTGCTCAGCTTTAGTTGGGCTACTTTCAATTAAATTAAATTAAAGAGCATTAATATTCGATTAGCAAGTTGATGACAAAGTAAAGTTGGTTACTGTGACTAAGTGAGCTACGTATAATAGTAGGGGAAGATCTCTAGTGGGTTGATTGAATCTCTAGAGCTCCAACTGATGGAAAAACGATAGGCGGTTTATTATAAGAGTCTATCAGGGAAGACATTGACTTAATTAAAAGAAAAAATGTTATGCATTATTTTCAGTTAGCGACTTAGAGTCAAAGCAGTAAAGGGAGCCGTTTCTCAAAAATCTCTCAAGTTTCAGCGAACTCCATTGCAGGTTACGATTGTAGCAATCTGCTGTCAGCTGCGTGTGGGCCTATTCCCGGAATATGTGGCATATGCCAGCATGCAAAGCTCCTGGCAGAGCGTCCATCAATGTCGCTTGTTCCTTTTTGTTGCCTTGGAAGTCACGTTAATTATCCAAGTTCAAAAGCAGGCGCAACATAAAGTTGATTTCTTTGTGATGTTGCTGTTCCTGTTCGGCTGTTGCTTTTGTTCTTGTTGCTGTTGATGCTTTTCACGCTAATGAAAAATTTGAAAATTTATTTGGCACACCCAAACGTGCTCCGCATGTCGAGCTACCGACGTTGCCTGCGGCTGTGTCACGTGGCCCAGCGCCCAGCTAAGTGGCCTTTGTATGCGACCGTACTTCATTAAGTATATATCGCTGTGATGTGATAATTAGGCATGCACTCGACGGTGCTGGGCACAAAACATTTTAAGCGTTCCTCAAACAGCTGGCATGCCAGTACATTGCCAGTGATTTCCATGGCGGATCATCTGTTTGAATGCGCTGAGAGAATTTGGCCCAAACGGCTTTTGATTCCTCGCTCGCTGTCAAAGCATCGCTGTTCCCTAATCGCATAGCACGACGCCGCTATGCCATAATTAGGCTGACATCCGATGCTGCTGCCGCTGCTGCTGCCAGCCAAGGGCGCAATCAATGGTGATTCGTGCAATTTGCAATGGCAGTCGGTAGCTGCAATATGAATGCCTAATTCGCGTGGAATCTTCAATGCGCATAATGCATTATTGTTATTATTGAGCACACATACATATATGCAAATGCGGTGGCTTACGAGACGCTCGGGTGGATTTGTATCTATCTGTCGTAGCTAGCCCCACGCACTGCTCTAAGCCCCCACACCTGTTGCACTTCTGAGACAGCGATTAGAACCAATGGGTCTGACGTTAATGCTCCACTAGAAAATCTATTTTTAAGCACATTTCAGTGCGCGTTTCCCCCTCTGGCGTTGACTCGCTGTCAACGGCCTCTCCAAATGTATATTTGGATACGTTTTGTTGCTGTTCTTTCTAGCCGCAACACGCTTCTTAATTTTATTGTCATTTCCATGCAACATTAAAATATTAGTTTCAAATGGAAGGCGACCTATGTTATTGTAAAAATAAACAAATGCCGCTCTGGCTGCAATTACAGCGCGTTCTGACAGTCGCTTTGCCATGAATCATGCGGGGGCGACGCAGCTGATCCCGAGACTGGAGTCGCCTGGGCAAATGTTCGGTTTGTTTTTCTATATGTATTAAATATTAAATTCATATGTTTTTGGGCATATTCGATTCGCTGGGAAATTCACAGAGTTTTCAATTAATTTACCTTATCTGTCGTGTTTGTCTCCTGGATTCGTTGCATCTGTCAACCGGCCTTCGGCGTGTGTGAAAAGTTTCTTGGCTCGCACTGTCGCTGACTTGGTGAGTCCTGTTTGACATATCCTGTCGCCGTCATTGACGCACACACAAACTTTCGCTACATGCATAAAAAACTAGAGCT